ACATCCATTTTTTCTAAAGTATGCCAAAATGTTCAGAAACCTTCAAAACGTCGAGAAATGAAAAAAATTCAATTTTGATTTTTAGCCCATTGCTATAACTACCCTACGGGAAGTTAATTATAACTAAAACATTCTATAAAATTTAAGCCTTACTAAAATGATCTCTAAAACCTACACGTAAATATAAAAGAAAAGAATCCATAAAACATAACTCAAAAATGTAAATATATAAATAGGAAATAATTGCTGTGTAATAAAAAAAGCCGAAACGAATAAACCGCAATGAACATAAAATGAATGAATTATAATAAAAAGCAAAAAAACTATAAATATTAAATATAAAACTGGCCTTCTCGAGAGCAAGCTGTGATAAAAAGTAACTCACAATCAGTGTAGTAAAAAAAAAATCAGTGAAATCTCTCTTCTTTAATGCGCCCTTTTAACAAATATACAAACACAAACGAACAAGAATCGCCGTTTTGTAAACTGACACAAAAATAACACTGACTTTATGCTTATTTATCTAAGACACTAACTTTTCTTAGTAACCAACATAAAACCATATGCTTATTTATCTATGCATAAAACATTTGAAAATACTTTTTCATCGGCTCACTAGCGCCAAATTTGCGACTACGAATGGACCCCTAATTAGCCCTTCTAAATGCGTATTTTGTTCTGAGATAGTAATTGTTTACGTTTTTAACCTTCTTGCCTTAAACTGATGTTTTAATATTAATTTTATATATGTCAAAATCATTATACAAATCAAAATTAATATAAATTGTAATATTTTCTATTTCCATACTATAATAATTTCATGACAACCCACTTTTATTAAATATTTTCAATATATTTCAAAACTGTTTGTTTAATTTGGCATTTCTTGTGAAAACATTACCTGAAAATTAAAAATATTACGAAATAGTAACGGTCTGTGTGATTCTATTTTCCATATAATAATAAGAATCAATAAATTCATTATTCACTTAATTGTGTGATGTGCCAGTTGAAATGAAAAAGATTTTTTTTATGCTCACTGTGAAGGTAATATAATCATTAACCTGAGGATCATTAAGTTTTTAGTAGTTTTATCAGATTATTTTTAAACAATTTAAACTGATAAGAAAATAATAAAATAAATCAAAACAAAATGCAATTGTACAAATGTCAAAAAATGTAGACTGTTGCGTACCAAGTCGAAATCTTCTCATTATCAATTATTTTATTGTTTAGAATATAATTTTTGTGCTAACTCTTATAAAAGACGAGCTCATCGCTCCTGTCTGACCTCTTTATGAAAGGAATAGTTGTTTGTTTAGCATATTTTACATTCTGGCATAAGTGTATTTTATTAAAATAGACAATTTATAAACTTCATTGTGTTTTCTAATAATGTTATGTCTCACTTTGCTTATAATCAAATACATTTATGTTATATTAACACCTTAATTATTGATAAACATTAATGTGTATTCATAGATCTTTAAAAAGGACTCAACTTTTACAAAGTAACATTGTGTATATGCTGGTAAGTGAATTCATATTTATCATGTTAAAACATATAGTTATATAAAAGTTATACTTGTTATTATTTGTATGGAAGTATATAGACAAGTAATTTATTTATAAATTTATTCAGAATGTGGTTACAATGAGATGAAGGTATCATAAATTTATATATAAATATAAATTTATATTTTTATGATTTTGTATCATTATTAGAGCTTCCAATACTGAACTAATCCTTGAATTCTGGAATTCAATATTCGAAAAATAAAATACCAGCACTCCAGTATTAATATCGGTATTATTATTTAAACATACATGTTACTAATAAGTGATAATTTCTATTATCAATTTGGGCTGTTTAATTTTGAATTTTGGGCTGTTTAATTTTGTTTTAATTTAAATATTATTATTTAAAAAAAAAATACATGTTAATAATAAGTGCACTTATTATTAACATGTATTTTTTATCATGAAAATTGCTATTATCAATTTGGGCCGTTTGTTATGAACACTCGATTCGACATTATGGAGAAATTTCACATTTCTTTATTATGTTTATAGACCATTGGTACCGAATTAAATATAACTGAGTCACATGGGTGCATACTAATTTTTATATATTAGTATTCGGGTACCTAGAAAAGAGACTTCAACAAGCTAAATTTTCTATGTAATAGTTTTGACTTTGAAATATAAAGCTCTTGAAAACCAACATTTTGAGATAAATCATTTTAATAGTCTATAAGTCACAAGCAGTAAATTTAATTACAGGAACTAATGTTTTGTATGATTCATAAATTTATAAATGTCATAAACGCATGATAATTTTTAATTGAATTTGATTGTGCCAACAACATGTATATTTTTACTTATTTATCATGATTGTGCTATGTTGCGATTTCCAGCTTTTTTTAACTTTTATATTTATATAATATTTTAGATTTATAAATTCTTAAGAATGGTTAAATCAAAGAAACAAGTATATTCAACAGTGACAATTGGGAATGAGAAAATGATATGCGACATTTGCAGAAGATCAGATGTGGATGAAACTCAACTCGGTCAAAAATGTTGTTATATGAATTATAAATTACATTATTTCTGTTTGGTAAGTTGACTAAATGGAATCAAGTTCATATATGACTAAATATATATATATATATATATATATATATATATATATATATATTAACAAAGTCTAGTAATCGGGCACCGGGCAACCTCAATAAAAAACATGAATTTCTTTCAAAAATTTATTTAAAATTTTTCTATAGATATATATATATATATATATATATATATATAGATTCTTCTATAATTCTTCGTTTGAATAAATTTTATTCGATTTGTAGTAGAGTCGGGTTAGAAAAGTCCATATTATGTTTCAAAGTATAAATATGGTACGCAAGCATAGTTTTAAATAGTCTCGGATTTTTTAATTGTTTTTATGTTGTTGTAAACGTTTAATTAAGTTCTGGCTTGTTTCTCCTATTTAAATTAAATTACAGTCTAGACAATCTAGTCGATCGATATTAAAATGGGTTTTTGTTTTGGTAAAAATAGTACTAGTCGTCGTTATTAATATTTATTGATAACCTTTTGGTTATCATATCAGCAAAGACTACATTTTACTGAATACTATGTCTGGCTCCAAGCTTGACTCCAAGCTTGACTCCAAGCTTGACTCCAAGCTTGACTCAAACGTTGACTGACTGTCTAACTTTTGTCTAACTCTTATATACTAATTTCTTGTTAACAACCTATTTACAAAATCCAACAGTAAGCACTTCCGATGTCCGCGTAACCTACATATAACTAGCAACGCGTTTTGTAATTATTAAACAAAATAATGATTTGAATTGTTATTACAGTTCAACCTCCCTCTTCAAAAGTTTTTCGTCCTCGGAAAACTATAAAAATTAAGAAGATTTTTTAAAAAAAATGAGTTCCATCTCTTTTTCCTTCGGCCCTTAAGAACTTTTGTCCTCAAAAGTGTCATTCCTGTTAGAATATGTTTACAAATATATGTGCTCTAAAAAAAAATCTCATAATAATTTTATTTTTATCTCTACATTAATAAATCTTCAATAACATACATACAAAAAAAAAAAAAATCAGCAGTTGAATGCAATTTAGATGGTCGCTGATTATGTAAAGGCATCACTGAAATTTAAAATGTTATTCCGGTAAAACAAAATATGCTTCGAACAACTTATCATAAATGATGCAAAATAATTTTTTTTTTCAAAAACTTTTATATCAATAGAGCATAAAAATCATAATATGAAAAATGTCTTTAAAATCTGCAAGAAATTAATAATGGCGTAAAGAATCTTGCATTTGATAATTTAAATCATAAATAGTAATTAATGAAAATTTAAATTTACGTTGTATTGTTAATACTTGATATATTCGAAATTTGCTAGGTAATCAAAATTGGACAAATGCTGCTCTGAAATATGAGAATTCGCTTATGTCAACCAAACAAAATGACTTGCTTTGTTACTCATGTGTTTACACCTGGCGAAGTTTTATTTTCTTCCGGTATTTATAATAAAACAATTTTGGTGCTGTTCTGAATATAATGAAATCGGGAATGTTTCTCTTCTTTACATGTGTTTGCAATTTTCTGCTGCTTTGGCTTTGTAAATCTGCATATTTCTCCTTTGTGTTCAAATTCATTTTCTTACGGTTGAACATATCTGTAATAGTGGCTATATTTTCATTTATTGACAATTTTCGTTGTGAAGGTAATTTTCTTATGATATTAACTTTATATTCCCTGGTTCCTTGATTATTTTCTTCTATAATTTCATCATTAATTTTTCTTCTTTTAATATTTCTTTTCTTTTTCTTTTTCTTCTTTATTTTAATGGGAATGGTTTTCATATATTCTGGTCCTTCATCATTAAGTATTCTTATTTCTTCTTGTTCATTATTTATTTCTTTCATGTCGTAAACCTCATCTTGGGCTTGTTTCATATCTTGTGCCACATATATGTTCAGATCTTTTTCTTCTTCATATGAATTTGTTCCTATGGTTTGTTCCATATCTTCTGCCTCATATAGATCCTTTTCTTCTTCGTATGAATTTGTTGGTATGGTTTGTTCCATATCTTCTGCCTCATATAGATCCTTTTCTTCTTCGAATGAATTTCCAGCGATTGTCGTCAACTCTTCTATTTTGGTGTTGTGAGTCAAACTTTCCGCTTTGTATTCTTCTTGTTCTTCAGATTCTTCGGATTCTCTGGACTCTTCGGACTCTTCTTTAGTTGTTATGAATGCCTTGTATGTATCATCATATGTTTTTGTATATTTCAGATCCTTATTACTTTCGTAGTCCATTCTATCGTCATTTCCACCATTGTTGATTCTAAGTTTGTCATCTCTTTTCCTATTTGTAAGTTTTCGACATTGGTTAATGTGGTGTTCCCTTTTCTGTTGTGTTGTGTTGTGAGTCAAACTTTCTGCTTTGTATTCTTCTTGTTCTTCGGATTCTTCGGATTCTCTGGACTCTTCGGACTCTTCTTTAGTTGTTATGAATGCCTTGTATGTATCATCATATGTTTTTGTATATTTCAGATCCTTATTACTTTCGTAGTCCATTCTATCGTCATTTCCACCATTGTAGATTCTAAGTTTGTCATCTCTTTTCCTATTTGTAAGTTTTCGACATTGGTTAATGTGGTGTTCCCTTTTCTTGCAGTATCTGCAAGTGACGAATGGGTTGTATTTTTTATCAGATCTGATGTTTAAATAGTTTTCTTCTTTTGCAGCGATATTCTTTGCATCCTTCAAATTTTCCGGTTTGGCTGGATAATAATAATTTTCAAGTCCAATGGTAGGCCTTTAACGAAAACTGCCAAAGCCAAGTCACAATATGATGGATACGCTATTTCATTATGTGTAAAATAGCATTCGTTGTTTATTAACGTAAGCAAACTCTCAACTTTCTCTGCAAATTCCTCAATCGATTCCCCATTTTTTCTTGTTGTTGTTGCAAGCTCGTGATGTAAATCAGAAATTGACCTTCTACCTTTAAATCGTTTAATTAGAATAGGTTTGATATTATCCCATAACTGATAATCAGCCCGTCTAATGCAATCAAAATCTGTTCCACTTAATTTACAAATAACAATTTTTGATATAAATTTGTATGTCTCAAAATCCACATCATCTAAAATAGAGCCTACAGTACTTAAAAATTTAAAGAGGTCATCTGAATTACCATTAAAATCGGGTATAGTGCTAATTGCTAACTGAATTCTAAATTTATTTATTTCTATACTATTACCTTTACCTTCTCTAGCTTCTGCAAAAATGGGTTCCATCTTGAGATATGATTAAGTTTTGATTTGCTTACTTGAATCCGATGAGATAGTTATGTCCAAGTTAGTCGTAGACTCGCGTTCGTTCTAAAGTTCTTCGGTAGGCGCCACCATCACTTAGTTTGTGCTGCGAATGATCGTTCGGTTTATCGAGTTGTGGCAGCTATTGAACTCGATGTCTTCGTCAGAAAATTCTTCAGCGCTACGAGGGAAAAAACCGCTAAGCCACCATAAAGTGTCCTGATGGTTGGTGATGTCTTTGGATGTATGTTCTGGATCACCAGTACGACCAGGAATTGTAATGATAGGCTGGACCCGAGCGGTGAACAGTTGAATAGTTGTTGAAATATTATATTTGTGATGTGGACTCTCCAGAGCGATTGATAGTAATTTGTAAACACACTTCTTTCTTTGAATGATACTTTTATTATTCACTATTTTTACAATTAATATTTATTGATAACCTTTTGGTTATCATATCAGCAAAGACTACATTTTACTGAATACTATGTCTGGCTCCAAGCTTGACTCACGCTTGACTGACAGTCTAACTTTTGTCTAACTCTTATATACTAATTTCTTGTTTACAACCTATTTACAAAATCCAACAGTAAGCACTTCCGATGTCCGCGTAACCTACATATAACTAGCAACGCGTTTTGTAATTATTAAACAAAATAATGATTCGAATTGTTATTACAGTGAAATATATATATATATACTAGATGACCCGACAGACGTTGTCCTGTACCCACCTCTACGTTTTTTTAATATCCTATACTAATATTTATACCGTTCAGTTAAAAATAATCATTATTGTTTTTCGAGTTACTATTTACACACCAATATATGAGTGATGTTAAATTTAGTACTGTTTCAAATAAAATGATTATTCTCACATCCCACAGTTAACACTTCAATTATCCCTTTAACAAATATTAAAATATGTTCAATAAAATTATATATTAAAAATTAAACACTGCGATTTATAGAACAAATTTATTTCCAATAGCTCAATTTATTTTATTCAATTTAAGGGTTATACAATATTTTTAGACATACCTGTAGATGTGAATGTTTAAATGAATGATTTTTTGTTTATTCACGGCTAAAACATTGATTTTCCAAATTTATCACCATGTATTTATGGTCATAGCATAGATACACGTGTTGAAAATTGAAATCTTTTAAAAAGTATAACAAATTCAGAAAGAATTAATATATAGCATGCGGTCAAGATACAATATCACCTTGGATTTTTCTACCCAAAATAATTACTTCAATAATGTTGATTAAATGAGCTACAACTTTCTCTATCATAAATTTTACCGTAGCTTCTTTTATTTTGAAACGGCGAAGGGTTAAAGGGCTCGAAAGACACTCCGGTTGGACAGCCGCGCACTCTTTAAACAATTAGAACTCTATCAATATTTGTGTAACAAAAAATAATAAAAAGCAATAATTGATTTAAAAAATACCTTGAATTTTCATATATATACTTTTATAGATGGAAAACGATTATTTTTAATTTTGGTGGAAATGGCACTCATAAACTCTTTGATTTAAATGAAAAAAAAACATTGTATGCGTCTTTTAATTGCATGATAGCTCACTCATTTTACACGCAGAAGTACTTCTTTTAAAGCTTATTTGGAGAACTATAAAATCCCATTTTCATAATTAACCTAATATTGTTCCTAGAACACTGTAAAATAGCGATTTATTAGGATTTTTATTGATATAATTTTGTTCATTACATAATTTTCGTTAAAATGTATATTTTCGAAGATATTAGCAAAAAACGATGAAAAACGCAAAAAAGAAACAAATTTTCAGTAGCTAGTAACTTGAAAAATATTTGCTTTTTTGAAAAACATTATTAAACATTTTTCTCTTATAATTAGTTCTTTCATCCACACCCAACGTTATTACACCACTGAAAAGAAATGGCATCCCTCCGGGTAGTGCAAAGGAGTCTAAATTGTTTTCACTTTTGAACTTGAGAGTAAGATGAGCCTAATTCCAAAATTCCAAACGAATTGGAAAACAGTAAAAAAAGTTCAGACCCAAAGCGCTCCATTAAGTAAATATTCCGTACAAAATGCCAACCATATGAATTTTTGACACAATGAAACTTCTAAATAATTTTTTTTGTATTGTGACTTAGTATAGTAAGGCAAAACGACCGCAAATTGAATATTTTTGAGCGCAATCACTTATGTCTCGTCTTCTTTGCACGAATTCGTAAGGCGAATCTGTTCGCAAAGTGCGCAAACAAAATTATTGCAAGCAAAAGCACGTGTACGTTGAGAACACGATTCGCCGTGCGCGTCAGACGCATGCGCAGACTGTCAGACGCATTTATTTATTTATTTGCATCTTATATTATTTTAATTTTGGCACATCTCAGCTGCTTTTCGACAATAATAATGTAGACATTACATTTTCTTTATTTTTAATCATGAATTTATTATATTTTAATATTGCCTTAGCCTATAAGTGAATAGAAATGTTTGGCAAATGACAGTTGTCATTTGTTTTTAATGTCAAACCATGCCTTAAATATTTTAAAGGTCAAACAATGATAAGCGGTTTTTTGTATTTTTTTCCATTTATTTCTACAATCTAACTATATTTCTATGAATCAAAACATTCTAGAAAATTTCCCGAACAAACTTCAGGAAGATTCGTGAAAATACGAATTATAGTTTAGGAGGATTAATGAAACTTACATTGTTACAGAAGAATTTTATATATATATATATATATATATATATATATATATATATATAAATATATATATTGAATGGTAGAGTCTTGGATTTGTGTATATTTTGTAGAGTTTCGAACAAGAATCCAAAAATAATACAAAATAAAAAACAAGAAAAGTTTTTAATAAACAATTTCTTTATTTAATTCACAATTTCATTTTTGTTAAAAAACTTGTTTAGTGAAAAAGTGCTAACATATATTCAAACATACAGGTAATTAATTCAACTTTGTCATTAACCTTTTCTTAAAAAATTTTTCCATAACTTTCAAAAAAATTTCTATTATGTTTAATATCCTGTTCTGATAATCCACTCATTTATTTTTATCATTTTCATTGTGATCATATTAACATATTTCTGTACATTATTATATATATATATTTTTTTGCAATTAATTTATTATTTAAGAAAAATCTATTTTCTTTTCCTAAACATATTGTTTGCTAAAATCTCATCAAGATCATGTTTCTTGACAGATGTCCTGAAGATGGAACGTACCTAGTTCCGAAACGTCGACAGTAAAACAAATAATTAAATAAAGAAATTGTTTATTAAAAACTTTTCTTGTTTTTTATTTTGTATTATTTTTGGATTCTTGTTCGAAACTCTACAAAATATATATATATATATATATATATATATATATATATATAATAGAATAAAATTGGCAACTCCGCAGTACATAACGATTTACCTGACTCAGAGACTCATTCTGTTGTCTGGGTCATTCTGCTATATATACGAGCTATATATATGCTATATATATGCTATATATCGTATATAGGATTCGTCGTTGCGAAGATTGTTAACGCGTTGACTTTGTATGGACAGGGTCGGGCGTTCGAATGCCCGTTCTGGCAATCTGACATCGGGCAGCGCGATGTCTATTTTCTATTGAAAATATAGATATATTTAATTGATAGACGAGATTTCTAAGTCGATCTATATTAAACTGGGTTTTTGTTTTGGTAAAAATAGTACTAGTCGTTGTACTAATATTGTTTACAATTCGGAGTCCAGATTTATAAAAAAGTTTTTTCCAAGGAACAAACAATTCTTCAATGTATGGTGAACATATTACACCAGAATGAGTCTCTGAGTCAGGTAAATCGTTATATACTGCGGAGTTGTCAATTTTATTCTATTAATAGAACTCCGCAGTACATAACGATTTACCTGACTGAATACAAAATTTTAAATTGATTACCGCTGAATGAAGGCTAAGATGCTAGCCGAAACGTATGGATTTTAAATAAATAAATTTCTAAAAAACTCTCATACTCTTTTTATTGATGTAACGCCCGACTTTTTAACTCAAACTAAAAATATATATCAACATCAAATTCAAGACTATTCAATATATATATATATATATATATATATATATATATATATATATATATATATCTTATATATAAAAATGGAGCTCTCTTTCAAATGTCCGAATAAAACTCGAAAACGGCTGAATCGATTTGGCCAGTCTTAGTCTTGAAAAATTCGTGCCAATCCAGAGAAAGTCCAAAAGATGAGAAATTATTTCAAATCCGAGTAGAAACTTTTTACTTTTAATTTGAAAATTTTTGTAGAAGCGTAATCTAACTAAAGCAATGGAAGGTTGCTAATCCATGAAATGTCAAACGTTTTTGACAGATGATGTTCAATTACGTTCAATAGGATATTTTACGTGAATACAATTTAATTATAATTAAATTGTAGTAAGTAGCTTTGTTTATAGTTTTATTTATATATAAAAACGTTAGTAAACGGGCCGCAAGTGTTACTAGAAACTCAAAATATCAACTCTTTTGAAATGTTAATATAAAAATGCACTTTTTAGCATATTTTTCTCAAACACGGAGATCTGAAAGATCACATTTGTATAATTATATACTCATTGATATTTATAAAACATTTTCTAGGTTATATTATTTTTTATTTATGTTATTTAAAATTCAAAACCTAAATTTGGTATTGATCAAAGGGACATTTTGCCGAATAACATTTTCCCAGTTATAATTTCGTAGAATTTATCGAGGAATAGATAGTAATATATGAAGGTCCGGGGTTAAAATGTTCCACCACCGAAGTGTCAAAAACCACAAAAGTTAAGCATTGTTTAACAACAATATTTGAAAGTAGAGGAAAAAAGATGTATAGCCAGCTACAAACTTGATTTGAAAACGATAATCTTTGAAATGGGGGAGATAAACGGTAATCTTTGAAAATCCATAATAAAAGTATTTTTTTGCGTTGGTAGTTTTTTAGCATTAGTTAAAAATGTAATTATTTTGTATTATTAAAATTAAAATAAGATATTAAACCTATTTGCCACCTGGCTGTTCCAAGTTACCTTGCCTATTTGTTAAAAAGATAACAAATTTTTGAAATACAGCAAAAAAGCACATTTCTACAATGATGAAGTAGAAGACAGTTTACTGAACGTAGTCAGATAATTGTTCGTTTGATATGTCTTATTTGTTGTGATATAATTGTTATGGTTTTCACAATATAGTTTATATTTGCTCAAAATCAAATTGGACCTTTGTGTCTCGCCCTGCTCTACATATATACTTTTTATTAAATTTACTTTAATTCATCGAATGTAACTTGAAACTTTTCAAAAAGCAGGTCAAAGAAGAAATACCTAACTCATTTTTTATCTCTCCTCGCAAAAATTTGAAAATTTTGTGTAAGCTCAGTAGTATTATTTACAATTATACACAAAATCCAGAATCCAAAAAGAATCTGAAAAACTTGAAACGTAATTAATAAGCCGAAAGACCAAAAAAGACTCGGATTGGATTATATGATGTTTTCTATAGAAAGTGTATAAAACTTGCAGTTTGAATGTATTGACAAAATATAGACAAACTAATGCAGTTTATTGTTTTTATAATCATTGCTCATTGTATATATAGTATTCAAACAACACATCCTTATACACTTAAAGTATTAATATTTTTGATTCTCTAGAAATGGTTTAGAATATACCCTATTTAGCAAAACAACGTTTGCCGGGTCAGCTAGTATATATATATATATATATATATATATATATATGTTGAAAAATTATTATAATCTTTCTAGCTACTAACACAAAATACATATCAGACTGCTAAGCCAGACACTGGTATTTTTGGTTTTACTGCGAAAACTATTCAAGCTGCATATCGAAGAATATCACAAAAGGTAATATGTTAACAAGATTTAATATTTCAATTATACAATGCATTTGTATAAATCAAATTCCGAATAATCTGAATTAGGTTTTTGATCGTTGATTCTTTAAATTTGGAGAGAAATGAAAAATGATCTAGAAATACTGCAGACACATTTTTTGTTTAAAGTTACTTTTAACACTCTATATAGTTTTATAACTGTTAGTCTTATTGACATAACTGTTCACTTAGTAAGTTTTTGGTCCAGTAAATTCATAACAATGTTTTTTTTTCTTAAAATAGTTTCTTTATTACTTTCTGATATTTGATTCCAAAATTAGTTCTAATTGAAAACTTTGTATGTGAGAATTTCAAAACAAATCTGTTAATGCAATGTTGGCATCATTGATATTATTGATACATTAATTAATTTTTAAAATTGAAGCTTGATTTTATTTTATGAGATAAATCAAAGTAACAAAAATATTATTTTTAACCATTTAGTTTTTAATTAATTAGTAACACATTATAGTTTTTTTTTTATAGATATGCCATTATTGTGGTGAGAAGAGGGCGAATATTAAATGCTATGATGAATATTGCATGATATTCTATCATCTGCCATGTGGAATTTTAAATGAATGTGTTACGCAATATTTTGAGACATTCAAGTAAGTTATTTAATTAGTAGAATTGACCTACAATTTATTTGAATTTAATAAACTCTTGTGGTTTACATTAAAGTAATGAGTAATAACGATTAATGCCTACATTTATTTCGTGATTTTTAATATCATTTGGAATGAAAAAGTCCCAGTGGTGGAAAATTATATTTAAATAGTGATATATAAACATATATTTATTAAACATTATTTGGAATTTGATTTATTACTAGTTCCTTATTATCCATCTCACCTTTATTTTTAATCTTCATTTAAAAATTTAAGATGTCTCAGAGGAAATAGCTACTTACATGTAAATTTTAAACATATATTATTCATTCCATGTAAATGTTGCAATACAATACATATTCCAGTCCAAAATTGTTCTTTTACCTTTCAGCACCTACTGCCCTGATCATGCTCCAAAACAGATTGTTTCAAATGAAGACATGTTGTACTCTTTGGCTAATTCACGATTTGAAGACTGCTGTGGTATCTGTTATGATACATTAATTCCTGAAATTAATTATAAAACTTTGTGGCCACCTTGTTGTCGAAATGGGTTTTTTCATAGGAAATGCATTTTGGTAATTGTCATTATTATAATTAATATCAATTGCAATTGTTATCAATTATATTAACACTTTATTAATAGCAACACTTATATTAAAAATTTATCTTATGTCACCGACTATTATTTCATAATTAGTTGTGGAAGTAAAACAATAAAAATAAGCTTTAATAAATTTTATTTACTATTTAGTTTTTATTTTTGGTATGATAATTAGTATAACAATCACTTATGTGTAATAGTACACAACAGCTGTTACAAATATATCTAGTTTTGGTAAGCAAAGTTTGACCATAATATAACGAGTTAACTCGTGACTGGTTAACATGTCAATATAAGGTTGTATAATGTGATGAAAAGTACTTTTTGTGGCATAATATTTAAACATTATAAATAATAAGTGTTAATTTAGAGATAATATATTTTTATCAACTTAAATACTACAATGAAGTTCAATATATTCTACTTATATTTGGATTTGATTATTTAAAATAAATTTCTTGTAATATATATTATATATTAAAACCGGTTTTAAGTATGAAAATTTGTTATCAATGATATAATTTTATTACTTTTTAGCAATTTGCCTTCTCTGCGGGTGAGTCGCATTTCAAATGCCCGCTTTGCAATGACAAAAATGTTTTTGTTGAAGAAATGCGAAGAATTGGAGTATATGTTCCAAAAAAGTAAGTTTTAAATCTTTAAATTTTTATGCAATCCATGAATGCTTTTTTATTTCATTCTTCTGATGTAACTCTGATATTGATAATATTTACCGCTGGTTTCAATTTATGCATTCAATAAAAATTTTGTTTATTTTTGCTCATAATATAAATTTACGGTTTTTTATTTGATTTGAATTATATTCAATTAAAGAATAATATTGAATAATATTATTGATATGAAATTTAAAATTTAGAAAGAAAGGATTTTTAGAAATTAACTTTCCTGACATTATTCAATGATTTCAATAATTTTTCTCAACCTAGAGATGCTTCATGGGAATTGGAGCCGGAAGCCTTCTATGATTTATATTTGAGATATGATAAGTGCGATGCTGAACCTTGTTTGTGTCCAGATGGTAAAAATCATAGAGGACGCGAAGATTCGTGAGTTTTCTTTAAATATTACAATAAAATTAGAATGATTGATACTTGTCTTATAACAAAAAAGTTCAAAAGTCATTACTAACTTTTTGATTATAATGTGATAATATTCAAACATTTGTTGATATCTTTGTTTCATGAAAATTTCATGTACATGATCGTCTTTTTGGTCTTTCACTTTGACATATATGTATGTAATTATTGGTATATGTGAGTATGTATATATACTCACATGAACATGCATACACACACACACACACACACACATATATATATATATATATATATATATATCTTGATAGTTTTTTCGACGTTGAAACATATTTCAAAGTAACTAGCAGCCCATTCGTCGAAATAAATAGGTATAAAGTGTAAATACTTTTATTTATACGTTTCGACACAAGATGCGTGTCATCATTCAGCAACTACAACAATTTGAAAATTTTATTACTAATATAAACAACAATATAGATTAATTGTAGCATAGAGAAACATTATACACACCACAGGACAAAAACACTCAACAAAAATTTATTTTAAAAAATTAAACTTAATAACATATTAGAGAAAAACATTTTTTTAGAAAAAATTATGAATAACTAAAAGATTTGAAACTAATTTGACTAAAAGTTATAAAATACATAATTGTGAGACGAGAAACACGCCCATACCGAGCATCCAGACTCGACTGAGGCGTATTGATAGGAATGGGAGGGGACGCATCAAGGACAAAATTCTCGAAGCACGAAAAACGCCTCGAACAAACAGTGCTTGAACTGGAATTGATCAAAAGGAAAAAGAAAAAAGAAAACCATGTAAACGTTAGAACAAGAAAAAACAATATTGTAAAAAATAATAAAAAGAGATAAGCAAATTAATTTTATGTTTTTTTAATAAAATCAATAACAATCTGATAACTATCATGTAAAAGGTGGGATGAATTGCGTTTATTAACACAAGAGGAGGAATTTAATGAAATAAAAAAGGATTCAGCAAATTTTCTAAGGTCACTATTTTTTTCGATATAAAGGATAACCGGATGGGAAGTGTTAAAAGTGTGATTGAAATTGAGCATATGATCTGAAAACATCGTTTTGAATTGGTTCGGATTTTTTGAATTATAAATATGTTATTATAAGATTATATTTATAAGAGAGTTAATCAACATATTTATAATTCAAAAAATCCAAACCAATTCAAAACGATGTTTTCAGATCATATGCTCAATTTCAATCACACTTTTAACACTTCCCATCCGGTTATCCTTTATATCGAAAAAAATAGTGACCTTAGAAAATTTGCTGAATCCTTTTTTATTTCATTAAATTCCTCCTCTTGTGTTAATAAACGCAATTCATCCCACCTTTTACATGATAGTTATCAGATTGTTATTGATTTTATTAAAAAAACATAAAATTAATTTGCTTATCTCTTTTTATTATTTTTTACAATATTGTTTTTTCTTGTTCTAACGTTTACATGGTTTTCTTTTTTCTTTTTCCTTTTGATCAATTCCAGTTCAAGCACTGTTTGTTCGAGGCGTTTTTCGTGCTTCGAGAATTTTGTCCTTGATGCGTCCCCTCCCATTCCTATCAATACGCCTCAGTCGAGTCTGGATGCTCGGTATGGGCGTGTTTCTCGTCTCACAATTATGTATTTTATAACTTTTAGTCAAATTAGTTTCAAATCTTTTAGTTATTCATAATTTTTTCTAAAAAAATGTTTTTCTCTAATATGTTATTAAGTTTAATTTTTTAAAATAAATTTTTGTTGAGTGTTTTTGTCCTGTGGTGTGTATAATGTTTCTCTATGCTACAATTAATCTATATTGTTGTTTATATTAGTAATAAAATTTTCAAATTGTTGTAGTTGCTGAATGATGACACGCATCTTGTGTCGAAACGTATAAATAAAAGTATTTACACTTTATACCTTTTTTATTTCGACGAATGGGCTGCTAGTTACTTTGAATATATATATATATATATATATATATATATATATATATATATATAACAAATGCATTCTGAGTGGATAATAGATATTAATTTGGAAATATGAACAAACAACACTCTTCTTGCACTAATTTATTAAATAATAATTTTCACAAACGTTTCGAGACTAGGTTTGTCTCATCATCAGTGTGTTATAATTAAAAAAAATTTAAAATATGGAAATCTAAATTAGCATTTTGTGTTTTTTTTTACAAGTCGTTCACTGCACGCTGCTCTTTTAATACCAACGGTCTTCGGTGTTCGTATTCTCTCCCACTTGAAAACCACTTGAAATTGTAATGTCACGCAATCAGATAGGAAGAAAGGATTAGGGTCCAGTTGAAAAATAGATGTCGTTACGAGAAAAAATATTCTATGATGAGATGGTTTGTTTATAAGATTTGTTATACATTGTTATAATTAAAAATGTATGTACATCTATATACATATTCATATACACAAACGTATACCCACAGTACAAAACGTCACATATACCAATACCTATATGCCTATAATATACATAATATGCATACATACACATAACCATATACACATCACACAGACATACACCTACCTATATATAAAAAACACTCACATATCCTCATATACATATCGCCATATTACACATAAACTTGCACATATATACATACATACACATATATATATACATATATACATACACATACATAAGTGTGTGGGCAGATGTATGTATGTATATGTGTATGTATATATGTATATATATATATATATGTGTATGTATGTATATATGTGTAACAAATCAACGATAATTTGAAATCGAAACCAAATAGAAGTGTCTCCTTTACGGCAATAACAGAATAGTTTTCAAGTCACTGGATAATGCTCTGATACAGAACCAGAAGAAAAATCTGCAACTCCAAGAACAAAGCCAAGTAATTATAACTCTAAATACTTCCATAACATTTGCAAAAAAATATTAATAAATGAATCTTATGTTCTTAGGAGATGGAAGCCTAAACACCTTGAAAAAGATTTTTGCAGCACCTCTAAGATTGTGAAGTGCAGGTTAAAAGTCACCTATTCTGACACCAGTTTTCCGAAAAGGTATTGTTTCATACTAATTGCAGCAAAAATATTTAATATGATAATTACAATATCTTCAATTAATATGATATAACAATATATTCAATAGAAGTCCCTGATGGTAGCTACAAATTGCCGCAGAATGCAATGATAAGGCGTAGGAGTGCCTTAACACCCAGAAGATGTATGATACATCAAATTTTGTTTCAGGATTAAAATGCAATGCAATAATTTAAAGGATAAATTCCAACAGAGTATACAATGTTCTGAAAAGTTTTCAAATATTTCGGAAACTTAAAATGTAAGGGCAAGAATTTTGATAATGTCTCAATTAAGAGAGCATACTCAAAGACCAGACAGTTTATAAAGCGCAAGAGTTTAGTTATAGTTTTAACTAAACCTGCTTGCAATAAAAACTGGATTAAAACGATAGATAGATTTGAGCTACAATTGGTATAAATTAAAAGTAGTTCAGGGTTTTGGTTACTTACGTTTAAAAAAACACTTATACAGAAACTATTCAAAGATTTCGTCAAATATAACTTTATTAATGATTGATTAGATAGCAAAATAACTATTAAATGGAGAGATAATAAACGAGAATGTCTCGTAAATGAATTTTAATCCTAGGAATTTAGTTTTATCTCAATTTGGATATCAATATATATATATATATATATATATATATATATATATATATATATATATATTGTTTTTAGGATTATTTTGTGTGGAAAGTATTCATTCTTTTTTAAAAATGTGCTGTTCTTTTTATCCTTTTAAATTATTGCATTACTTGTCATTCCTTCTAAATTTGTCATTCCATCATCAATACTCCTGCGCTTTTTACTTCTTAGTTTTTAAGTTTTTAATATATTATTATTAGTCATTATTAATATGAATAAGTTATTTCTCTTTAATTTGTAGTACTTTAAAAATATGTCTGTAATATACTTTAATTAATAGTAGTCAGTTATTTCTGTTTAGTTTATAATTCTTCAAAAGTATGTCTGTGATATATTTGAAAATATATTTTGTATTTCGTATGTTTTGTTCTTATTTCAAATAATAATTTTTTTCAGATTTTTGGGCTGTATTGATTTTATGTACAAATATAGAAGTAATACCAGGGGTTAATTTATGTACTGTATGTACATGTGCTGCCATGTAGTGATCTATTCGTAAATTAAAATGAGCGTAACGTCAAATGGCCCGAGATAGCGATCTATTCATGCTTGTTTATCTATGGTTTATGCTATCCTCTCAGAACAAAATCCTCGTTCAGAAGGGCTACTCAGGGGTCCATTTGTGTTCGCAAATTTGACGCTAGTGAGCCGATGAAAAAGTATTTTCAATTTTTGTCTCAGTTTACAAAATGGCGATTCTTGTTCGTTTGTGTTTGTATATTTGTTAATAAAGACAATATGAATAGAACAGCTTCAAACTCATATGGAGGACATAATTACTACGTAGTGCATTGAGTCTAATCATAATACACTTTAAGGAAAGAGGCCAATTCTAGGAAATTATGTAAGAAATCAAGTATAAGCTTCTACAAGAAAGACATATTACACAAATAGAAATCTTCAAGTTGTTTAAAATTGGATTACCACTTCACAGGGATCTGAATATACTTGGGAGAAAATGAATTGCTTAAGAATGTCAAATTTTGCACGGGATGATTATTAGTTAATGAGAGTTAAGAATGTAGACGATGTAATGAACTAACACTATAGCATTATTCAGTAAATTTCACTAAATATTTATATTAATAAGTAGAAAAATGTAAAAGTTATTCCAGTAGATTAGATGTGATATCTATTACAGTAGGCCCTCGCTTTACACGGCACTCTGGGTACACGGTTTCCATACTACACGGAGCTAAAAATCCGACATCCCTCTGACTACACGGACTTCTTATTACACGGTATTTAGTAAATAGCCCATAAGTTCGTTGTGCAAACGGATATTGATGTAAATGTTGTTATCGACTGTTATCTTTTAGACATGCTTGATTATATAATAGCTGCCTAAGAACACGTTTGAGCTGACTGCTGTGTCGCGCCAATTTTTGAATAAGGTATCAATGTCCTACATGTCATTTCGTCCGTATTACTCTTACTTCAAGTTGTATTCCTTGGTCTCCATACAGCGCGATAAAAATGGTACGATTTGTACCAACTCTGAGTCTTTCATAGCACGGATCCTATACTGCACTATGTAAGGTTCCATAGAACGCACTACGAATTAGCCTGAATTGTATGTTAAATACGAGTTTCTTATAGCACGGTTCCCATACTGCACGGCACGCACTTGCCGCGTAAAGCGAGGGTTTACTGTATATATAAACCAGCAGTGTATTTGTTGATTTATATTTCGATTTGATTGTATATTTATTATAATATAATATTATCTAATATATTTGTATTATTATTTTATTATTACAAAACATAATACGATTGTAATACCAAATTTAGTTTCAAAGACCCGTGTACTAGAATTCATTAAATTTTATTTCAAATTTTGCGCCATTAATTTGAGTGCCAAGAGCAGCGCCATCACGTTGAGCGGAGGACCCTTTAAGTATTTTTTCTGAACGTAAAAATCGGGCGAGAGAAACGCCGTGAACGGCTATCAGTGTGTGGTTTTCATGGGTTTTATATGTTTGTTAAAGAAAAAAGATATTAAATAATTGTTATAAATAATAATGAACGAGATACAGTAATAATGTGAACGCTGAATATTTATTGAAATTATTAAATTTACTTCAACGTACTTAAAACATAATTAAGTATAATGATTAATTAAATAAAGAAATGCAGTAAACATTTTTAAGGTTAAGTTCCTCAAAGCTTATGTCATAATCTCGGAATAGTTCTTAATAAAAACAATATAATAATGATAAAAATATTTTATCAATAGAATAAGTAAATAATAAATTAATTTACTCTTTTTTTAATATTTTTGGTCAAACTAAAGACTTACAATAGACATTATTATATATACAAAAGACATTATCATTACATTATACTCTTCTTTTATCTATGGACATTATAAAGCACATACCCAATATGAACACGGGGTATTCTAATATTGTCTATGTCTAGGTTTGCTAACATTTCAGCCAGCATGAAGTTGGCGACAAAGGCTATGTGCGAAGGCATGGAAGGGGAAGTCAAATCGACCGAAGCGTTGTGGCTACTTTGAGCATTAAAGTTGGCTATTATAACAGAAATTTTAAATAAAAACACATAAAATATTTGTTCATTTCAAATTTAAATAGGATAATTAGAAGTGAGCCACCAAAGCTGTTGTATAGTGGGTTGTAGAAATACTAGCAGAAAAAGTGACTGCAAATTCTATACATTTTCTACAGCTAAGTGGAAAGAAAACCAACGGAAAAAGTGGATCGCTGCGGTTAGAAGATTAAAGTAAGTATCATAACCTTATTGTTATAAAAATACAATTGGGAGTATTATGAATAGTTATAAAAGTGTTATGTTTAGCAAAAAAAATTATAGGTCAATAAATTGTTATATTATTGTTATTTAATGCTTACTAGAAAAAATTGTTTTGCAAACAATGTAATTAATACAAGGCTGAAATAATAAAAAATATATATTTATATATTGTATATTGATTATGTATAACTATTATCTATATATTAATTACATTTTATTATATAATAATTGTAATTTAATGATTAAAAGAAAAAGAAAAGTAATCACATAGCGCTAAAATGCTTATTTTGCAAACAGTTTATTTAATACGATTCTGAAATAATGCAAAATATATATTTGTAGTGTTGATGGATCACCGCCGTGGGTTCCCAAGACCTAAGATCGCATTTGCAATGAACATTTCATTAGAGGAAAAAAATGGGACGAGGTACTGAGTCCTATATCTACTTGCCAACAATATTTCCTTCAATTTACAAGCCTCGAAAAGTTAAAGTAGTTTTTTTCCTGCAATTTTATCTGATGGATGATGGAATCAAATCATGTCTTTATAATAATGTCTATTGTAAGTCTTTAGTTTGACCAAAAATAATAAAAAAATGAGTAAATTAATTTATTATTTACTTATTCTATTGATAAAATATTTTTATCATTATTATATTGGTTTTATTAAGAACTATTCCGAGATTATGACATAAGCTTTGAGGCACTTAACCTTAAAAATGTTTACTTCATTTCTTTATTTAATTAATCATTATACTTAATTATGTTTTAAGTACGTTGAATAATTTCAATAAACATTCGGCGTTCACATTATTACTGTATCTTGTTTATTATTATTTATAACAATTATTTAATATCTTTTTTCTTTAACAAACATATAAAACCCATGAAAACCACACACTGATAGCCGTCATTAGTTCATATTTATTACGGCGCTGCAGTCACGCTCTGAGCGAATATGCGAAGGCATGGAAGGGGATGTCAAATCGACCGAAGCGTTCGTAGTGGTTACTTTGAGCATTAAATGTAGCCATTGTAACCGAAATTTTGATAAATGATAATAAAAATTCAATTCGGAGTACTATGAATAGTTGTAAAATTGTTATGTTTAGCAAAAAGAAAAATTGTAAGTCAATAAATTGTTAAATTATCAAAATTTAATGCTTACTAGAAAAAATTGTTTTGCAAACAATGTAATTAATACAAGGCTGAAATAATGAAAAATATATATTTATATATTGTATATTGATTATGTATAACTATTATCTATATATTAATTACATTTTATTATATAATAATTGTAATTTTATGATTAAAAGAAAAAGAAAAGTAATCACATAGCGCTAAAATGCTTATTTTGCAAACAGTTTATTTAATACGATGCTGAAATAATGCAAAATATATATTTGTAGTGTTGATGGATCACCGCCGTGGGTTCCCAAGACCTAAGATCGCATTTGCAATGAACATTTCATTAGAGGAAAAAAATGGGACGAGGTACTGAGTCCTATATCTACTTGCCAACAATATTTCCTTCAATTTACAAGCCTCGAAAAGTTAAAGTAGTTTTTTTCCTGCAATTTTATCTGATGGATGATGGAATCAAATCATGTCTTTATAATAATGTCTATTGTAAGTCTTTAGTTTGACCAAAAATAATAAAAAAATGAGTAAATTAATTTATTATTTACTTATTCTATTGATAAAATATTTTTATCATTATTATATTGGTTTTATTAAGAACTATTCCGAGATTATGACATAAGCTTTGAGGCACTTAACCTTAAAAATGTTTACTTCATTTCTTTATTTAATTAATCATTATACTTAATTATGTTTTAAGTACGTTGAATAATTTCAATAAACATTCGGCGTTCACATTATTACTGTA